GTAATATTTGGGGTCACAAGTTTTTGCCATGAATATTTTGTGGGTCAGAAGATAAAAAGTTTGGGAACCACTAATTTAGAGTATGTGTGKGAATGATCTGATCATCTGACTGTTGACTGCAGCAGATATTATTAGCAGAAAAATAGAGGGCCTCAAAATCACATTTTGCTTAGGGCCCCATGCAGGCTCGGTCCGGCCCTGTTTCAGGCAGACTGTAGCTGTAGAAACTACAGAGAAATGTTCTGTTTTGGTCTCACAAGCTCTACTCCGAGAGAAAGATACAAATCATTACAGTTTTCACGGATGTAGCACACAACGACCACAGGATGGCAGACTAAACAAACAAATAAAATAAAATAAAAAACATTGCAGAAGCTCGCTGTGTTGCCTTCAAGTGCTTTTACTTCTAACTGGACTAAAAACATGCAACACGTAGCCTATAGCTTTTTGCTGGAACTTAATAAATGRATAGATTAGTCAAATTGTGTCTCATAAATTGCTACAGAAAAAGTGTTTTTGTTATTTTATTCCTGGACACACTAAGTTTGAATTTCACCGGTTGAATCCGATTCAGAAACTCGAACAGACCCTGAAGGCATCATCACCACGTGAGACCGGGGGAGTTCAGTCTGAGTCCTGCAGCCAGCCGGCCGAAACGGAGCGGAGGTCAACCRGGCGTGAGTGTGCAGACTTCCAGCTTCCATGGCAGCTTCTGCAGGAGCCGGAGCACCAAGCTGAAGGTAAGAGACTGATGGAGGCTGGTGGAGACTGATGGACAGGAGGCGCTGCAGCTGGAAAACCTCTGCGTTTAGGGGAGACAGCTGAAGGCTGCACATTTATATTAGGTAGTTGTAAAATATTGTCAACATAATATAAATGTAATGACTTAAATAGCCTGGCTGCCACCCTGTGTAGCAGATAAATTAAAATCCTACATAAAAAAATGTTATGTAAGTAATTACAGTTTAGCTACTGTTTAAGTTCTGTGTTCTAACAAGAAATGTCTGGAAACAGAAAAATAAAATAAAAACAGTGATAAAATAACAGAATTACGCAACTAAGATATCACATCAGAGGTACTGGCTACATTCAGCTCATTAAACATACTTAGGGATGGGTGATATGGACTAAAATGCATCATGATTTCTAGGTTTTATCACGGTAACGATACAGTGGTTTGCAAAAGTATTCATACCCCTTGAACTTTTCCATATTTTGTCACATTACAACCACAAACATAAATATATTTCACTGGAATTTAATGTGAAAGACCAACACAAAGTGGTATACAATTGTGAAGTGGAAGCAAAATTTTACATGAATCAAAACATTTTTTACAAATAAAAAACTGCGTGCAAAAGTATTCAGCCCCCTTTTCCCTGAGTGCAACCAATTGCATTCAGAAGTTGCCTGATGACTGCTAATGAC